AAGATAAACCTGAAGAAATTTACCTAAATAGGGAACAGAAGACTAAGAGAGAGGAAATACAAAATACAGATTAAACAATATGGGGCTAGAACGAAAAAAAAATCTAATGCTAAATTGGAATTCTCAAGAGAGTTTAAAAGGAAGAGGAAATATCTGACGTGTTAATAGCCGAGAGTTTTTCATATTTGATGGAAAATCCAATCCACAGATTTAGTAAACACCACAAATCCTAATCTGGATAAATAAAAAGAAATCCACACTTGGTCACATGTTAATTAAACCAAAGAACACTAGAAATAAAAAAAATCTTTAAAATAGCCAGAGAGACAAGACAGATTAGGAAGGATAATTAAATTGGTAATTGATTCTTCAAAAACAAAAATAAAAGTCAGAAGGGAGTGTAAAAATAACTTCAATGTCCTGAAAGAAAATAATTATCATTCAATTATACTCAGTGAAATTATCTTTCAAGAATAAAAATTAAATAAAGACTTTCAGATCCACAAAGGCTGATGAGTTTCATACCAATAAATCATCACTGAAGTAAAATTCCTTTATAAAGAAAAGATTTCAAAAGGAAGCTCTGAAATATAGGAAGAAAAGATGTATAGAAAAAACACATGAGAGATTCTAAACAAATACTTTATAAATAAAAACAAAACTATTTAATAAAGTTGAAAAGCCAAAATGGAATTAAAACTTTAGACAAAATAATACAACGTCCAGAGGAGGTAATCAGAGTTCAACTGTTTTAGAGTCTATACTACATGTTCAGATTTTAAAGTTAACTACTAAAGAAAAAAATCTGAGCCCAGATGCTTCAAGCAAGGACAGATTTTCTGCTTTACAAGGCCCCTAAAATCATCTGGAATTCTCTTGAGAAGGCTTAGCCATCCAAAATAGGATTAATAGTTCTCTGAAGTATTTATCACTTCTTTTGCTAACAACGGTTTTTAATTGCCTCTTAATTATGGTACTGTGGAATTTCTCAATCTTTACAGAACTTAAAATGCCCTCTCACAAATAACTTCCTTTTTCCGTTCTCCAACTGTAATTTCTTTCTTTCTTTTTTTTGAGATGGGAGTCTCACTCTTGTTGCCCAGGCTGGAGTGCAATGGTGCGATCTCGGCTGACTCTAACCTCTGCCTCTTGGGTTCAAGCGATTCTTCTGCCTCAGCCTCCTGAGTAGTTGGGATTACAGGCATGTGCCACCATGCCCAGCTAATTTTTGTATCTTTAGTAGAGACGGGATTTCTTTGTGTTGGTCAGGTTGGCCTAGAACTCTTGACCTCAGGTGATCTGCCTGCCTCGGCCTCCCAAAGTGCTGGGATTACAGGCATGAGCCACTGTGCCCAGCCCCCAAGTGCAATTTCTAGCAGGCACATACTTGTGTCCATCTTGGAAATGAGCTAAGTACCATCACCTTATCCAACCACCTTTCCTACCCCTCATCTCCTCCTGAATGTTACAGTCTGTGGAGAGCAGAGTGACAACAGAATTTATCTAACTTACTACAATCTGTAAAAACATACCTTTTACTCTGTCAGTACCTGCCTCCTCTGTAGTCCCATAATATATATTCCTCTATTACCATACTTGGAACAATCAGAGGAGGACAAGTATCATATGAGTCTTTCTCTTGCTGAGGCCATTTAATGTCAGATCATGATTAACCATTGTTGTGTTAATTATGAGTTCTTGGTAACGAATGTAGGTGAGAATGCTTTATTTAGTTTAAAACATTACAAATTCAATTTGTATGTCTGACACAGAAAAAGTCACAGACAACAGTAACACAAACATTTCAGTTTTGATGTCACAAACAAGGCACAAAAACAACTGACAGGTAGCCCTCATGAAGTCAACTTCTCGCCCCCCTCTGTCCCACCCTTCTATTCCCTTTTTCTTTATTCTCATAAGAAAATTTCTTATGCAGTCATGTTTAATGCTTTTGTTAATAAAGTGGCTTTTCCTTAAAGCCAAGGTAAAAGAGAAGCTATTTGTGTCTCTTTTAGCCTTCCCAGGAGAAATGAGTCAGACTAGTTACTTCATGTCCAGCCCCACCAAGAAACTCTAAGAAAACATTTAGCTAAACTACTATATCTTTTTGCTTCTCACATTCCTTCTCTCTATATATCTGATCTCTCTTAGTTCTACCTAAAATCTTAAAATATAGTGAAGATGCCAGATTTTTGCTGTTAAGCAGCTCCTGTCCAGAATTCTGAATCCAGATGAATCTGTAATTTCATTCAGAAACTTCTCTGTAAGGATTCCCCAGAAAAGCTGAAGCACATATTTACCCCTCACAGCATAGCTAATGAGAATGAGGCTCTCAGCTGGGTTCAGTGGCTCATGTCTGTAATCCCAGCACTTCAGGCAGCCAAGGTAGGAGGATCACTTGAGGCCAGAAGTTTGAGATGAGGCTGGGAAATACAGCAAGACCCTATCTCTAAAAAAAAAAAAAAAAGCTGGACGTAGTGGCACACCTGTGGTCCTAGCTACTTGGGAGGTTGAGCAATGATTGCTTGATCCCAGGAGTTTGAGACTGCAGTGAGCTAATAGCACCACTGTACTGCACTCCACCATGGGCCACATAGTAAGACACTCTCTCAAAAAAAAAAAAAAAAAAAAAAGAGACCGAGAGAAAGAAAATGAAACTTTCCTTGAGTGAAGCCATGAATCCCTCTTAGATTAGCATTTGAGGAATGAATGGTGCTTGGTTGGATGAAGCAGCAACAGTATCTGTCTTCATAGCTTCACCATATCCATGACATATGAACAAGCATCAAGTCTACAGCTCTTCTCACCAGATGCTTGGCTGTGAAGAGAAGCAGCCAGATTCCAGTCCCATAGGCCTGGCTTTATAATTTTAGAAACCATTTGATTATGGACAAGTCACTTACTATTTTTCAACCTCAGTTTTACATTCTGCATAATGACACCACACATCTGCCCTGCCTCTATCACAGGAGTTGATGTTGGGATCAAATGAGATAATGCATGTGAACAGTAATATACCATAAAAATAACACAAATATTATTAGTATTAACCTTCTCCCCCTCAAATAGTGCTAAAACTCAGGCTGCTGCTTAAAGCAGCTCATCATCACCCTGTGCCACTCTGATAATCATAGCCCCTTCTTCAAGCTTCATAGATCAGTTTCCCAGATGACTAGGAGGTAGGATACTGGCAGAAAAAAACTAGGCACTTCTTCCTTCTAGGACTTTAAATGGCTGGCCCCCTATTTTAGTGAATTTGGATTTCTACGTCCTATCAATCAATTTCAGACTTCTAGTAAGATGCTGACGGCATTTAAGTCTGATTTTGGAAGGATGTATAATGGGGATTTTTATTATTCTTGCCCACCCAACTTCAGGTAAGACCAAAGAGGAAGTGCTATTGACCACTCTTATAATTTGTATGCTTTATAAAATGATTTTTTCCATTTCCCCAATGCCCTCTTTTCCTTCTATTCATGATTTCAATTTTGCTAAAAACATATCAAGGGAATGAGAAAATTACCTGTAATTCTTGTTGTCTGTTGAGACTGTCACAATAAATCACTATTCTGTAATGGAAACATCTACGACAGGCTCCCTGGGAGTGCTCCCGACACTCCTTTCTCTTTGCCTGACGGTTTTACCACCACTGCTACTGCACTCTGGTGAGTCCATCAGGGTCACAGCCAGTCTTTTGGGTGTCTCACCACTGCCAGCCCCAAGGGAGTGAGAGAGACCTCACCAGGACATTTGAGGAAAAAAGTTCTAAGGCCCAAGGAAGCCTCAGGAGCTCCCTTGTGAGCATGCTTGGATGGAATAGCTGGCATGCACCACCAGGTACATGGCCATTGTCTCCAGCTTCCTAATGAATCGATACATGGCCTACAGAAACAGCTCATCTACCAGGGGACATCTCCTTGCCACCTGCATCCACACTTCCTCCTCCAGCTTGTTCCTGACTCAGTAGTGACTCACAGGCAAGCACTGCAGCTTATGCATCATCCTTCTGGGACCCCTGCTGCTCACCCTTTCCTGATCTTAACTCACCTCTTTTCAATTCAGATTTTTGGATATCGGCTTTTCAGATCACTGAGCATATTTTTAAATGAGATGATGGACAAACACACACAACACTTTAATATCAAAGTATTCCCATTTACGTTTTTAAAAAAAGTAAATCTCTGGGTTTATTATAATTTATCCATAGCACTATTTTATACTCTCTATATAAAATCTCCTTTCTTCAGCATGTCTTATTTCCCCTATTACAGGGTCCTAGTGGACAGAGATTATGTCTTACACAAAGAAGCTAACAAACATAAGCATTTCCTACGCAGGATACACTATTCAAGGGAGAACAAACAGAAGGACAGATAGAGGAAAGTCAGGGGTGCTGAGACAGCAAGACTTGACTTGTCAGCTCAGCCTTAACTCCTGTCCATATACCCAGAAACAACTGCTTTTTCTCTCCACTGAAGGCCTGGAAGTCTGAATGATTTATGCAGTTCTACAGAGGACAACCTGGTCCCAACTCCTCAGATTACTTCAGTAGCCTGCTATCTTCTTTGTATTTTTCAGTCTCTGTAGTTTTGTTGTCTTTGGAATTGCAGGCTTCCAATTTTAATGATTCTTTAATTCTTTCCCATTGCTACCCTCAAACTTCACCAAAATCATACATGCCTGTAGCTTTAAAAAAGCATTAATTTTGGTCTCTGCAGCTGGTGCTATGAGGCTCTTTGGTGGTGAAAAGCCTGACACAGTGCTCAGTATAAAGCGATAATAGCTACCACAGCTACCCAATATTCTCCAAAATTGCCTGAGCAAGTTGAAATCCAAAGCTGGTGACTAAGAAGTTTCTTATCATCTCTTCCATCTGAACTGGGGTCCAAACACACAGGCTAGACCTAAGCTTTCAGACACCAGGGACACCAGTAAGTCTGAAACTCAGCACCGGGGTTATGGCTTGTGTCTTCCAGCCCTTGGAAGTGCCAGCACTGAATTCAACTGTTTTCCCGATACCTCCAAGACTTGTCAAAGCAACAGGAAAGTCCTTTGGTAGGTTAATTCTCCAAGCAATGACACCTACCAGCTCATTGCCCCGACCCTCACCCAGCCACTTCTTTATTTCATTGCAAACACAGGACTTTTTTTTTGGAAATGTCATGAAGTACACATGGATACTAGAGGAATGATACTCTGAGAACAGGGCCTAGCTCCAGTGGTTCTGGAGAAGACAAAAAAGATGGTAAAAAAAAAAAAAAAGAGACCTTCTTCAGAGGTTGTCCATGGATCCACTGACAGGGAATAACCCACTGCTGGGTTAAGGAACAGTAAGGTCAAGCATTATCCTCCACTGATTTGACCCAAACATGTACCCGACAAAGGTTCAGGTGAAAAACTTTGATGAAAATCTGTCAACAAAAGCAGTGGCTATGAGAAACACAAGTTTGGATGGAGTAAGGGATTCAAGGATGAAGATTCAGACAAGAAAGCGTCAGGTTTGTTCTTGAAGAGAACATAAAGAATGCATCAACTCATGCCTCGGGTAGGAATCAGAAATTTGGGCTACATTCAGCCAGGCAGTTCTTCTATTGGTATTAGCTTGACTCACTCATATGTCTGCAATCAGCTTAAAGTTGATGGGCTGTCAGACAGGAAGACACAGGTAACTGGGCCCTTTTCTTTTGTCATGCAGCAGGATAGTCCAGGCTTGTTCACCTGGTGGTAGTTGCAAGGTTCCCAAGAGCAGCAAAAGAGGACAAGCCCCATGCACAAGAACTTTTCAAGTCTCTGCTTGTGTCATTTGTCAGGCTACTGGCTAAATCAAATCACACAGCCAACTCCAGATTCAAGGGGTGAGGGAAAAGATGGCACCTCTTGATAAGAAGGGAAGTGTTTGCGGCCATTTTTGCAATCTACACAACTATAAACTCCAGAGATCTACCTTTGGGACTTAGGCAAAATCTATCATTTAGGCAAGGGTGGAAATAGGAAGTACTCCTTCCTGAGAAAGCAGTATCTCTTATTTCTTGAAAGCATCCATAGTGGCAGTCTAGTCAGGCCAAAAGCTGTATGTTCCACAACCCCCATGTCCTAGAGTGGCAGAACTGGGATGGCAGGAACAATTAATGGTAAGTGAAGCACAAAACCAGAAAAGACTAAGTGAAGTTTGTGGGGGAAATGGTCCACATTCAATGTATAATGAGACGATGTTATTTCCCTCTGAGATTCCTTCTCATACTTTTATACACGCATTACTGCTTTCCTTTTTTCCCCTCTTCTCCTTTATGTGTGTATTTTAAGCATTTATCCAAGGCACCCAATGACAATCTAACCAGAGTGCAGAGGGAGGCAGGGCTATGTGTGTGGTACCAACCTGAGGAAAGTCCAGGACAGGGTCTCGAGAGAGAAGAGCCCTTTATGTCTAAGACTCAGATACTGACATGGGCAACAGAAAAGAAAAAAGCAGTTTACGTTCTCAGAATGGAAAAGGAAATACCACTTAGACAGCTTTTCAAAAAGGTATACTCGCTTTTGCTTTGTCCTAGCCACTCAAGAATTGTCATTCAGAACAACAAATTGAAGTCATTTCTGTGATTGTCCCAGAGGTCACTGTCACTGAGCTCACCAAAGGCCTTTTGATTTTAGTGTAACAACAGTCATTGACTAGTGACTGCAAAGTGATGTGGATAAAAGGTATATTTTGACTTGAAGCTATCTTCCCTTGTCAGCAGAAGGCCGCCTTCTACTAGTCGTAATAAAGTCTTCTAAGTATAGCACAGGAGGTGTAGAAAAGCATACTGTAGGCATAGACAATTTCTGGAGATTAGCAGTCCAGAGCTAAGTCTCTTTCAGAATTGGAAATAGAGTCCTGGTTCTGCTAAGGGAGGAGGCTGGGCAGAATAAACGCTATAGTTGAGAAACTCTGAAGGTAGGAATGTTCTCACACATTCTTGCTTTCTTTCTAAGTTTCTCAAACTAGTTAGATGGGCACAGAGGTTTGAAATCAGCCTCTCTTAAAGGCTGCCTCCCATCCCTTGCCAAAGCAGAGATGAGCAAATCTTCCAAGGTGATGGCCAGAGAAGGTCCTGGGCCTGCTGGCTCTTGGATTTGTGTCTTGTCCCTGTAGTCCATGTCTGATTTCTAGTCATCCAGAGAAATGCTGACAACATCAGACCACAAGGGACATCCTGGTTGGAAAGTCATTCTAGGAAAGAGCAGAAAGAGCCCAACATTAAGCCACATGCTAAAGAAAACAACCAATAACAGATGGTTCACTGGGCAGAGTCCACAACCCATTCAGTACCAGGCACCCCTGACTCTCAGAACCTGTCATTAGACCTGTGATGGTTGATCCTAATATGCAGTAGAGGCTAAAGCCAACATACATCTGATAGGCTTAGTTCCTTAGCCACAAAATAACTTCTCACTCCCTTAAGGATAACTACGTTTACAGCTCCACAACAGCAAATGTGGTTGGTACACCATAAACCTGAAATCGCCTGAAAGTTTCTTCCCTACTCATAGTACTTTGGTTATTGTATTTTTTTTATTTAAAGAAAAATAAAATATTCTGAATTCCTTTAGAAGGGCTAATAATTGTGTCAAAACCTTTTTCTGTTCATATTCCTTCTCCTCATACTAATGAAAATGCCCAGCTTGGATTCATAAAAAACAGAATGGTGGGGAGGCAGGGTAATTGAGGAGGGGCAGAAGCAGTTGTGCTTAGAGAGTAGTCTCCAAAGCATGGGGGTCAGAGGCACTTGGTACCCACAGTGGATATTTGTGATTGTCCCCAACGTTTCTCTGAGGTCCAGGGCTCCCATTTTGGGGGCTGAGGGATGTAGTAGGCAGCTCTTGGCATTTTGAAAATAATAAAGTCTGTATAAGGCCACTTACAAAAGAGACAATGAACTGGGCACGGACCAAGGGATTTCCTTCGCATATATGACAATACAGTTTACACTCAATAAAACGTCAAGGGAGAACAGACATGAGTTGTCCTTTGCAAACAGCAGTGGCTCTTAACCTTCTGTGGGATGTGGATTCTCGGAAATCTCATGCAAACTCCTGCCCCAAGCAGGGCTGGGGAGGAATACACACAGAAACTTGCATTGAAGATGTGCGCAGACCTCAGAAGCCCACCTAAAGGCCGGTAGTGGTGATGGCTCCCGGAATCGCTGGCGCTAAGCGCTTCTGAGCTGGTTAACTACCTAATGCTCCGTGTTAAACCACCTACACGCCTACTACTTTCTGCCTGTTTTTCACCTCTCCCGGCGCATGCTTCCTTCCTTCATCTGGCCCCGGACAGAACGAGGTTGAAAAAGCGACCGGGCCTAACGTCCGCATTCAAACTCCCTCGGGCAGGCCCTGGCAGCCTCTCCAGGCCGCGGCCTCCCGCCTCGCCACCTCCCCGGCCCGGGACAGCAAGGCAGCCCGCCCCGCCCCGGCGGCTCCCGCTCAGCCCCCTCCGAAGAGGGGCGGCAGACGCGGCCTCACGGTTTTCTTGGCGGGCTCCTTTTTCCTCCTCTTCTCCGAGTTGCTGTGGTAGGGCAGGTCGCGGCCACGGTAGGAAGGGCCGCGGGTCAGCTCCAGCTCGCTGTAGGGCGGCAGCGCGTCGTCGGACGCGTCCTCCTGGTCGTCCTGGGACGAGCTCGCCTTGTAGGTGCCGGGCGGCGACCACGCGTAGTAGGAGGCGCTGCGCGGCCCGAGCTGCGCGCTCCGCTTGGACGGCGTCTCCAGGCTCCCGCCGCGGCTGGCGCCCTCGGGCCGCGGCTGGCGCTCCCGCGTGCCGCCCAGGTACGAGTGGTCGTACTTGGGCGCGGTGCCCGGCGTGCGGCTCACCAGCCGCGGCAGGTGCGCGTCCTCGGCCGGTCTGCGGCGCGCGGGGCTGAAGGCCCAGCCGCGGTCGGCGTCGGTCAGGGGCTCGCGGCTGCGGCTGCGCTGGCCGTAGTACTCCTCCAGGGAGTCGTCCTGGTAGAAGCCGCCGTGCGCCCGCGACTCCGAGCGCTCGAAGCGGCTTCCGCCCCGCGCCTCGTGGCTGTTGCCGTCGCCGTGGCGGGGCCGCTGGCCATAGGAATCAGCGAAGGCCGCCAGCTCATCCATGGAGACCGCCGGCACCCCCGTGGCGAAGTTCTTCCGCGACAGCATCTCAGACTTGGAGCGCGGCTGGCTGCGGGCAGAGGAGGGTGGGGTCAGACGGCCCGTCCTCCCCCAAGCTTGAGGCCGGGAGTTCGAGGCTGAGCTCCGAGAGCACCCATCGTGTCCTGGGGCCGCGCTCCGGAGACCTCGGCCCCAGCCTCAGCTCTGCTCCAGGCTGGATGAAGCATTCCTGGCTCCTCTCATACCCCAGAACGTCAAGTGGGGACAACGGGGTCTATCTCACTCGTGTGCCAAGCATCAAAATGGGGTTTTGTGGGTAGAAAGATTGTGTCCTATAGAATACCGACACACCGTGGGGCCGCCTTCTGGTCATTGTGTTGTGACCTCTGGTCGACAGCCACACGTCTCACTCCACCCTCAAAGCCAGCGCAGGTGTCAGTACAACAGTTGTGGTCCCGGGAGCCCCTGTAATGTGTGGTGACACACAGAGAGGTCTTTCCCCCCTGTCAGAGCCAAGGGCCAAGTTACCTACTGGGACAGGCGGGGAGAGGGACCCTTGCAATTTGTAAAGGAAAGGCAGTATCTACTGTCTTCTAAGGCAAAGGACAGACGAGTGGTGAAGGTGCTATTTAGGGGGAATAGCAAATCTTAGCCTACCACAATTGTTGGTCACATTACCTGGGTAAGTGCCTTAGCACCTGGAAGTTTCTATTTTTCCAGCTTAAAATGGGGACTTTAATAGCTGCCCTTTAGAGTTATGACAATTAAATGCAAGAGAAGTGTCTGGCATTTTACCTTTCATATACTAAATGATCAAAAATGAGAGAGAGGGCCAGGCACAATTACTCATACCTGTAATTCCAGCACTTTGGGAGTCTTGAGGTGGGCATATCCCTTGAGCTCAGGAGTTCGAGACCAGCCTGGGCAACATGGCAAAACTCTGTCTCTACCCATCCCCCTCAAAAAAGATGGAGATAATGGGTGGGATTTTTTAGAAGTTATAGGATAAAATATATGAGAAGAGCAGAGATAGGTTAAGGTTCATTAAAGAGTCTAGGGGACCCATTTCAAAGGTCTTGAATAGTTACTTCTACACATGTTGTCATAAGTGTTTCCTGTCTTGACAAATGTGAGAGTTCAATATCTTGTAGAAAGAGAGATGTGTTAGGATAACCTGGAATGGGAGACAGAGATGCAACTGGATGGCATCTACCCTGCCTTCCAGCTCCTGCCCCCTCACACCCAGACCAGACCTGCCCCTCACAGCCATCACCTGTGCCTGAAGCTCTCCCGATCCTCTTTGTTATATTCCATGGCTGAGGGCCCGCGGCTTGCCCCACTGCTGCCTCCCATGACACCTGACCAGTAGTCAGGATTGCTCTCCAAGTCCCCAGACACCGGGAACTGCTTGCTTCTCATCTGATGGAAAGACTGGCGGAAATTGCTGTCCTCGTCATGTAGGGAGCTGAGTTCTGAGATGGTGTTGTTATCTGCAGGGACAAAACCAGGCATGATAGAGCTTTCTATGTGTTACTCTGTGTTAGTCAGGAAGAGAATCCTGTTAAGGGCGGAGACCCTAGGTCCCAGGAAACTCCTGCCTCATTCCTGTCCAGGGTGGGTTGTAAACCTGAACTAGTGGTGTTTGTATTCTTAGCGCAGCAGGAATTGGCTCCAGTTTGAAGCCTACTTGCTTACAGAGCAGGAGGTTCCTACATGTTCTGTTCCTGGAATAGGAGAACAAGTTTGTTATTGTTGCACCTAAGGCAGGCTTTCCAGAACACAGCTCTCTGCTGCTGGCCTTCTCCTAGTACATCATCATCCTTGTTCAAATGTTTTCTTCTTCCTTTATAATTCTGTGATGAGCTGTGTTGATCCCAGGCATGTTAAGCCAAAAGCAGAAAAAGAGAGACAGAAGCACAGAGCACAGCATCTTCCTTACTTCTGGCCCAGTCCTAAGATGGGCCTTCAGAGCCAAGCCTGCTACATGCCGTGGAGGTACCACATTCTGGCCTCCTTTGGCTGTGGTCCTCCCCACAGAGCAAGAAGTCCATAGAGTAGTTGAACAGTCAAGGGGAAACATGTTCCTAGTGTCCATATACACCCTGCCTGGCCCATGCTCATCTAGGAACCTGGAAGATGCTGCCCAAGTAGAACCAAGTCTACTTCCAGGACCTGGGCAGACCTCTTCCCCTTCCCCCAAAAAGTTTTCCAGGGGTATGTGGCCATGAGTGGTTAGGCCAGCAGTTTGGAGGTACAGGAAGAAAAGTAGGCTGTACTTACACCTGTGGGCCTGTACTTATACTCTGGCCCTAGCCCAAAACTGGGGGTATCTAGTCACAGCTTTCTCATTTCCTGAAGTGGCCTAAGTAGCTTTTTGCAAAAGTTCTTGTGAATACGGACCAGAATCACAGTCTCGAAAGGAAAAAATAAACAAAAACTCAACTATTTATTTATAAAACTTTGCAAGGTATTGAATTTCATTGTACTTAAAAACGAAATCTACCGAATCTATTTGCAATGTAACTGAATCCATTTGTTTTCTAAAATCCTTTAATTAGAACTTCAAAATATTATCAAAAATAGCATTTACCAAATTTCAGGCCTAGCTGTTGAGTGAGAGGTAGGCCAAGATAAGATCTGGAAATGTGTGTCTCAGATTCCCTCAACTTTCCCTTCTCGCTATCCCCAAGAGTACTTGGAGGACCAGGGGATTTTTCCACAAAGATGAGGGAGGGCATCCCAACACAGCCGCCTAGTTCTGTTTCATCAGGGACACAGTGTTTACCATGAATGCCATTCAGATTAATCATGCCATCAGTTGATTTTTAATTATATTTAACTTTTAACTTTTTCTTCCATCTAAAAAGAAGGGACTATGCCTATCTTAAGGAAAATAACTCAGATACTATTAATTAATAAAATCTAGAACTTTTCCTTTCTCATGATCCCCATGAATTCTAGTACACAAAGAAGAGGCCTTTAAAATGCACCAAATGACCCTACTGGAAAATTGCGTGATTGGCTCAGAACTTTCCTTAAACTTCAGGGAATACTTGACCTTTTTCATTTCTCTAGATAGTGAGGACGATCTATGTTTCACTATTCACAGTGATGGATTGTCTAAGTTGTATATTGTGCTAAAATTTCTGCCAGATTGAACATGAACATCGACTTGTCCCCATCTCACAAACATCCATAATGTAACTCTAGGATAGGGATAAGCAAACTTCTTTTTGTAAAGGGCCAGAGAGTAAATATTTTAGGTTTTGCAAGCCATATCGACACAACCATTCAATTCTGCCACTGTAGCATGAAAGCAGGCATAGATGCAACGTTAGTAAACTGGTATGGCTGTATTCCAGTAACCTTTATTTATAAAAATAATAGGATGTGGGTCTGGGCATGGTGGCTCATGTCCATAATCCCAGCACTTTGTGAGACCAATGAGGGAGGATTGCTTGAGCCCAGGAGTCTGAGACCAGCCTGGGCAACATGGTGAGAGCTTCATCTCTATTTAAAAAATAAAACAATTAGTTGTGCATGATGGCACATGCCTTTGGTCCCAGCTACTGGGGAGGCTGAGGTGGGAGGATCCCTTGAGCCGAGGAAGTTGAGGCTGCAGTAAGCTGTGTTGTATTCCAGCCTAGGTAACAGAGCAAGACCTTGTCTCAAAAAAAAAAAAAAAAAAAAAAAGAAGTGAAACATATTTGGCCCAGGAGATACAGTTTGCTGAGCCCTACTCTAGGACTTCCCAGACTAAAAACATCCCAAAAGCAACCCCCCATTTAGAAGGGCAAAGCAAGTGAGGACCCTACTGGCTAGCAAATTCACGAGCCTGGACCTCAAACTCAATTCTTAACAGAACCTATTACTCTCCTGCCCCAACCTGAAGCCGTGAGATCCATTTTATAATGAGATTTCAAGATTGCCCACTTCTATAATCCACCCCATAGTTTACTGTGTTTTTCAGGGATAGGACCTCTCAAAATAAACAGTATTCCTACTTTATCTCTATGTAGTTATTGTAAAATTAACTTTCAGGTTTCAGGAGATGAGGGTTCCAGTTCTGGCACTGGCACTGAGTACTGGTACTTGTTACTTTTCCTCTCTGCCTTAGTGAGGGGATACATTCAACAACCTCAGAGTCTCTTCCAGCTCCAGCATTCTGAAGTCCTATTAGCTAGAAGGCTGTGGTCTCTGAACAGAAACTGCTGTTACAGCCATGGAGCCATCCACAGTTGACTCAAGAGTTTCTTGTGGAAAGAGCACAGGACTGGGAATCAGAAGAGTTGGAATCTAGTCCTAATTGTCACCGCATCCCTAGGCTTCTGTTTCCTCATCTGTACACTACAAAGGTTGACGTGGGCCATGTCTAAGACCCTCTTGGACTGTAAGAATCCATTACCTTATGACCATTAAGCCCATAGAGACCATTTTAATCAAGTAGAGAGACAGGAGACATCGCCTAAACCAGAACTGATCCTTTAGTTTTAACCTTAGCTGTTAACTTTTTCCCCTGAACTGTGAGATTCGCAGATTTCCTTCACAGACTCCTCTGTGGTCCCTGACTCACTCTGTCTCTGGCCCTTTACAGGGATCCATGACAACATTGTTACAACTAGCTTGTCAAGTGCAGTGACATCTGCATTCCTGACATTCCAATCTGGAAATGGTCTTTTTATAGTCGGTATGGTGGGAGGAGACAGCTATGGATACAACGCAGACAGGATGAATTTAGAATTGCAAACTGGGTGGAATATGTTGTCCTTAATCTGAATAAAGCTCCTCTAGTCTGGGACTGTTTCCCCAACAATTCCGTCAAGTATCTTGTTAGTTCCAAGAAGAGGAGTTAAAGAGAGAGCATAATGACCTCACTTCCACACCCGCCAGCACCCTCTGATAATCGGCTTGTCCATACGGGACCTGCTTGTGTTGTCTCCCATGATAGATGGTAATTTGGAATCCACCCCAAGAATCAACTGTGTCAACCACAAAGTATCCAAGGGCTGGGGGTGAGTTAAGGGTTGGGGCCCTGCCACCTGACTTAGTATTCAAAACGTTCTTTTGACAAGAGGAGCAGCCTCTTTGCTTGCCCTTTAACCTCTGTTGTTTGGCATCTTCGAGGAGCGACAACCTCTTTTCTCCAGGTTCATGTGCCAGCCTTGTTCTTTCACTTTCAGGAGGCCTCCATGTAGCGAGTTGATGGTTGGGCTGTCCAAGGCTAAGGTGCTTCACGTTGGGAAAACTGATACGCAAGCTTCTACATCTTAAGACATTACTTTGAATATATTTTAAAGGGAGTAGAAGGGAGACTATTTTAACAAAGCATCCCAAACCCCAGGATAACAACAGCCCCAGAAATACTGAGTGCCCATTGCGAGAACCAACATAAACCAAAGTGCTACAGAATTGCTCTACTCCTCACAGCAGAAGACCTTTTTTTCCCCCCTCTGTGTAATGGGAGCTACTTTCTTCAGTAGTGTCACGAGCACCCCTGCTAGTTCTAAGCCTGTAAGCTCAGGGCTACCCAAGTTTGGTGACCCCCAAGCCCCTTTACATACTAACTCCTGCATAACGCACAGATCACAGAAAACTAACAGATGCTCACATCTGCCTCTCATCCTTCTGGCTGGATCAAACTGAGCCAGCTCCTTCTCAACATAGTACAGGACCTTCATGGAGTCTCTCTCTTTGTCAGCCTGGATCCGGTAACCTTTGCGAACTGTTGAGAAAAGCACAAGAAGGTGAACTGAAAAAGGAAAATACCAGGGGAAGGAGGCCTCCATTTATTTTACGAAATAGAAAATAGGGTTTCTAATTATAACAACTCTTTTTGAAATCACCCAGAAATAACAATCTATATTTATACATATGGGGCCATATCTGTTATCCCCTTTATCAGATGGTGCCACTGGAATGGAGGACCTAAAGGTCAACAACAAAATTTCATTACAGTCTATTTTTAGTCATTTATTAACCTCTGCTTCCTATCTTTCGACCTCCTACAGCTCCACTTAGCACTCATCTTCTCAATGCTTCTGAGTTCCATTGGAGGAGAGTGTTCACACTAAAAAAAGACCACTTTCTAGGTTGAGGACATGCGTCACTCTACCATCTGAGGATCACACCTTCACTTTGTGGGAGCACAGGTAACTTTAAAAACAACAACGACCTTGACAAGTTGGCTTGAAAGCTTTGGGTTACCTGGAAGATTGTACAAAAATTCCTTAAACTGAGTTGTGTATAAGAGCTAATATTAATTTCTAGACCATATACATAGTAGTACAAAAACAAAATTCAAACTATGTGGATTTTTAATTATGGTTCCATTTTATTTCTTTAGCATTTTCCTTTTAGGAAAAGGAATACTGTATTTTAGACATGATTAATTCCACCTGCTGCTATGCAGTTACAAGCAGCTGTTATTTTGGGGGCTTAATAAAAAACAAAACTAAAGCAGGCGCAAGAACATCTCCTACATCCCTATCACTCATCTTGTCAGAGGCAAAGGCTGTTTAAGCCCCATATCACTTAAGCATGAGTCTAGCCCAATACCAGCCCCCAGAGTGATTGATACCAGTGGGCCTAATGCACAGATAAGAGAAAGAAGAAAAAAATGAAAGCGAGAAGGGAATGATGGGATGGGTACAGAACAGTAATGGTAATTAGACAGTACTCACTGGGCACTAAAAATGTGCTAGGTACTGTGCTAAATGCTTTACATGGACATCTGTTCCTCAGAACCACCTAAAACAGTATTGTTTTCAGCCACATTTTATGTTTGAGAAAATTTGGGGTCAGAGGGGTTTCATAACTTGCCAAGGAAAAATTAGCAGTGCCAGGGCTGGAATCATGTAGTCTGATGGAAGCTTAAACATATTGGGGCATCTTGCCTCTCTAGAGTCTAGGAAGAGAGGTAGTAAGAAGAGACAGTGAGAAAGATAAGGAAGGAAAGTCCGGAGTAAGAAATGCTTTAGCTATGCCATGGGTTGTATGGTCTGCAACCAGCTAGCTGTTCAAGACTTTTCAATGGGATGTAAGCTAGTTACCTAAAGCCAACATTTCCTGTTCCCAAAGTGGGGCAAACACCATAAAGAAACCACATGACTGCATGTAAATCCAGTGAAAACCCTGTTGTGTAGCGTCTGGCCATGTTACCTGACTGTGGACAAAGCCCTCCCACACAAGCTATTTACATGGAAGATTAAAATATAAAATTCCATAGCACTCTAACTGTAGCCCAAGCACTAAAAACAGAAGTCACCCACACACCCATTTGCAGGTGCACTGATTTTCTATATGAGACTATGCTGGGCAGTCCACATTCATCTCAAATTGTGGAATTACTAAGAAAAAGAATTAATGAATCTGAGCACACACTTTTTAGTGGCACTTTCTCCCAGAAGTTAAATCCATAATCCTTGCATGGAAGCAATTATTAGCAAAAATAATTTTATTTATCAAGCTAAACATTCTTCCATCTCTACAGAGGCATTTACAGAGTCATACAGACAGTTCAATTAAGATGCAATTATCCCATGGAACTGCAATGTCTGTTCTGGAGGCAGTTATGTCTGATGGATGAGGCTCCGGCCTGGGAAGCAGGGAACAGGGCATCTTGTAGCATGCTGTGCAATTTATTGAGGGACCTCAAACAAATGATGACCTATCTAGGACTCAGTTTTCATGTCTATAAAATGCCATGAATACTTCCCAAACTTTAAATAATCTCTTAACGATGAGAGGACAACCAAGACCAAATCAGCGGAGCACTTTGACTTCTCTGTAATTATCAGGAGCAGCTCACATGCCGCCTCAGCCAAAGGGCTTTCTTTGATTCTCACAGCTTGAAAAGTTCTGTTTCTCCCTCTCTAACTTACAAATCACTCAATTTGAATTTTATTACAGTCCTTAATATATTCTAGTTTGTTTAAGTTATCTGTATAAATGTCTAATCTTCTCAAAGATTCCTGAAGGGAAAGAATCCTTATGGTTCTGGATCTCCATGTGCCTAAAACCATGCTTTACACATAGTGGGGAACTTATAAAATGTTTGTTGCATGCTTCCAGCCTGGGAATTGGGGCAGGGTTAATGGTTTCTTTGAAAAGTTTATTTTCAGTAGAGTTTTTTTCTCTAGACTACAAACTTCCTGAGGATAAGGACTAGGTCTCTGTTCATTTCTGTATCCCCAGCACCTAGCATAGAGCCTGGCACATTGTAGACATTTGAAAGATGTGTGTTTGTAATGAATGAAGGAATGAGTGAATGAGGAGAAACTGGGAATAGAAACCATATTGTAAGAGATTACAATGTATAGCAGTTGAGGCCATATGGGTGGTTTATTGGAGATTTTTGACCAGGAAGGGAAAGGCTTGGATCATAGCAAAGTTTAGGTATCATGATTATTGTTACTATTGTCAATTATTTTTTAAGTAAGGAAAACTAGCTTGTCTGGGCATTATGGAAAGGGCCTACTCTACTTGCAGCTGTGGTTTTATCCAGGTGTTCTAATATGTGAAGCACTGTTACAGTAATTCAGTAATACTGAGCTAGAGGTCATGGGGGATGGGGCCCACAAAGTTGTTGCTATATGGAACAATGTACCAGCTGTGCCCTGGCAGAGAGAGATGGCCAGTGAGAGATGGCTGCTACCCTGAGCAGCAGCTGGAGAATCCTCAGTTAATTGCCACTTGGACTAGAGCATAGTTTTCTATGTCATTATAACAAATTACACTCCTCATTATGATACAGATTTGATTGTGTATGCATAGGTTATGATGTCCCTGAAAAGTTACAGTAACCATTTATAGCCTCAAATGAAGATGATAGTTTTGCCTTCAGTACTGGCATTATAAAGAGACTCCACTGTACCAGATACTTTTAGCCTTGACTTCTTAGTCACAGCAGCCCATGACTTCAGAAATCTAAATTCCTCTAATTTGTCCAAAAAAAAAAAAAAAAAAGACAGAAGCAAAGTTTTGAAGTTTTGATCTTTTGACTTCAGGAGTATCATCCATTTGGTTTCAGTAGCTAAAAACCTAGGCAATTCTTTCTCCCTTTAAAAGGTATTGGACTTTTTAAAAAATGGTAAGCCACAAGTTGAAATACACTAAACTATTCTCTGATCCTGGTAGAATCTGGCTCTATGTCACATACATTCTGAGGAGGATAAGAAACACCAGAAAACCCTTCCTGGTCCCTCCTCTCCAAGGATGAGGTTTTCCTTTCTGAGCTGGCATCCTGGATCAATCTTTTCATATACTGCCTTGTATTATTTACTCATTTTATTTCTACTTACAAGCCTCCAGCAACCACCTGCTAGACTGTAAATTCCTTGAGGGCAGGTAAAATTTGTAGGCATTCATTAAATTTTTCTTGATTTGAAAGCAAATAGCAATGGTGTCAGATTGATTTTTATCTGTAATTTGTCTGAAGATCAGAGAACTCTCTGGGGTATGTGGTAATGTTTTAATAATAAATGTCCTAGACTATTGGCCAAAGTTCAGCATATTTGGAAAATGGCTTTTTTCCTAGTGATGTTTCAGTTTAGGATCAACGGATGATTTATCTGTTTTCAAGTTCAATCTGCCCCAAGTCCTTTGGTTGGTGTGGTTCTTCATACTTCACCTCCTCTAATTTATTAGCCTTGCCAACTTCGATTTTACTGGAGAAGGGATATTGGGATATTCACTTTGATGCCAAACTATAATTTAAAAAATTCTTATTGTTAAAGGATTTGTGCTGAACTTTTGACCCCATTGAAGCTTAGGCAGTTTTCAGCTAAGTTCCCCATTACAACCAAAATCCAACTTATAAAACTTGCAAAAGAAGTCTCTGAGGCAGATACTCATGGATATAGCCTTGTTCTGCATGTCCTATCTTAATAAGCTAAGTAAAGCTGTTTATGGATGATAGAACAGCTGCCAGATTCCACCCCCAAGGTGACAGCAGCTCAGCTGTGGGAGAAGTGATTCTTAAAATTTGCATATTCTCTGTATACATACAGTAGGCATATATATAGATACACATCCTTATTAATTTTGAAAATGACATTTCAAAACTCTACTTGCCTACTCAATTCTTTTGCATGAAAAATGGGTGGAGGCCAGGTAGATGTGGAAATAAAATGGATTAGAGCGAAGCAGAGTAGATGTGGAAGCACCAGGTGGGAGATAATTCTGTTAAGCAAGATGGGAGGTAATGGCAGCATGGACTAGGGCAGTTTCAGGAGAGATGGAAGAAGAGAAACCAACCTAAGGTTATTTTGAATTACAATCTAAAGGACTTGGTGACCAGATGGATGAGGGAAGAGGGGGAGAAAGAAGGGATAAGGATGAAGGCTCTGCTTCTGGTTTGGGCTAAAAGGTGGACAACGGTGCTATCAACTGAGATGAGATATGTAGAAGCTGGTTTGAAGTGAAGCAGCAGCAGATTAATTCAATTTCCTAGGGGCTAAGGTTGAAATGCCTACAAAACACCCAGGTGGAGATGTCCAGAAGACAGCTGGATATGTGATATTGAGGAGCAAAAAAAAACAAGGCTGGAGATAATGATCAGAAATCATCAGCATATAGATGATGATTGAAGTCATAGGAGTGAATAAGATTTCCCAGGGAGAAGACCTCAAACAAAACAGGAATATCTGGAGGTGGTATAGTAGAAGAATGGCCGGCATGCACAGAGATAGGTAGGAAAAATGACCAAGTACAGTGCTGAGAACAGCAAGGAAAGATGAGTGCCTCAGAGTGGCAAATGCTTCTGAGAAGTCAAGGGAGGTAATGACTGAAAAGCATCCATTCAATCTAGCAATCAGGCAATCTTAGCAAGAGCTGGTCTCTGGAGTGGTGAAAGCAATAGAAAGATGGAAGGGAGCCGGGGAGTTGGTGAGAGCAGAGGGAAAGGAGATATTTAATATTCAAACTCTTTCAAGGATTTTGGCTGTGAAGAAGAGTAAAGGGATAGGAAAGCAACATCCAAGGACAGGTTTTTACGAATTGTTGTATTTTAATGGGAGAGATTTTAGCATATATTGAATGCTGATAGGAAGAAGTTACTAAAGAAGAAAAGAATGGAGATGTGAGGTGGGAACAGGGTGGATTGTGGGTATTCAACAAAGAGAGAGCCTTGACAAAGCTGAAAGGGACGATCCAGAGCAGCACAGGGGCAGGCAGACTTGTTGGACGGTAACAAAGAAGGTCTCAAGGCGCTGCCATGAACAGGAGGAGGGACTAGAGTGCCTCTTACCTATTCCATTTGGGAACCAACTGGCTACACTACATATAGTTCATCAAAGATGCCCTTTACAACCACACAGGGTTCGAAAGGCTACTGTGTACAGATATAATCTGAAAAATTACTGTTGCGAAATAATTACCCTAAAATTGAAGTAGTATATAAATATAAAATAGGATAAATTTACATTTTTGTAAACTAACATTTCTTAACATTTTTAAGGTTCTTTAAATAATAATCTACATGGAACACTGGCATAAGCCACCTTTGCTAAAGTAAGATTAGCCAGACACCATCACTAATACTCCCCATGGGACCATGAGTACAGAAGTGTGCCTGGCAGGGATCATGAAGAAGTCTGTCCTGGTTCCACCAGCCAGACCGTGACAGCATGGGCCAGACTAGCTGCGGTCGACATTGATTGCTACCTGTTCTCTTTTTCCTTGCTAACAAAACCCTGATCACTTCCAAAGTAAATAAATAGTTGTTCAGGCCTAAGCAGTGAGTCGTAAGGAGCTCAAGCCAATTTTGTTTATGAATGGGCATAAGCCCAGTTCTTTCTGATAAAACTAAAAGAAAAGGTCTGCCAGGAAAGTTTTTCCTTACTCTTGAGAAAAGCAGCATAAGGAATAGAATACCATTTTCAATCTCTGAATGTGCTTAATTACCTGGAACTATGCAGTCATCAAGAGATCATGAGGTGAGCCAGCTGAGGAGGACAGGGGATGTGCTCAGGATAACAGAACTAAAGACAGAAGGAACTAGCTCCTTCAGGGCTGCCACCCAAACTGTTCTATTAACCAACTCTGGAACTACCTTACCTTGACATTCTTGTTATGTGAAATAATATATTTCCTATTTTAAAGCCACTTCTAATTACAATTGGTTAGTATGTCAGAATGAGACCAAAATGGTTGAAGTGCAACAAAGAGGAATTGGAAAATGATTGAAAACAAGAGAGAGCAAGTATTTTCTCTTCTATGAATAAGAACAGTTTTGTTAGATAATCCGTTAAATAAAACATAAGGGGAAAAGGATTCTGGTGGGACGAAAGATTAGAAAAAAGGCAAATAAAGAGTATGAGATAAGTTCCATTAATGTCTCTTTTGCCCACGTCATCTTTCATGGAAATGGACTATATTATCTTTATCTCTCTAATTCCCTGTGTGTCACTGATCATTAACTTTTACTTCTCAGTCTGTGACTCATTCTGTATCAGATGTCACAATTCTACTAATAGCTCCTGGGAGAGGAAAATACAAATCCTAATTACTCACTGAGGATATCAACTCATTCTAGTCAGGCACGGGCAGCTCATTAGGTGGGCTAGATACCTTTCCCCACCTCACACTGGAGGCGGTCCAGATACCTCTAGGGAAGAAATGTCTGTTTTACCAACTCCAGCAGCTCATCTACATCTAGGGATTTAAAAATCACCTTCTAAATCTATAGCACATTCAATCCTAACCTTCACTACCTTGTAATCCTGTTCAAATGCCTCCAGAAGAGCCATATTTTAACGCCCCTCTACCTGCCCACCCTACCCTGCCCCTCTACCTATACCTCCTACCTGCCTATAATCACAAATTAATAGTGCCTCAAATGGGACTAACCTTTGCCTGAATCAGCTCTCCTTACCACTTATTCCATTTTTGTCTATGATCTAGACAACCTGGGGTCATCCTGAAGCCTCCTTTTCCTTCATTCCCCAATAACTCATTGTTTCTTTCAAAGTGTCTCTCAGCTTTACTCACACATTTCACTCCCATTGTCTCCATCATAATCTAGATACATATCTCAATCAATTCAACCATACCTTAGCTCATGGTCTCTGGCTCCACTCTCTCCCACTTGCCACTCCCTTTGCCATGGTGCCACCTCTGCCCTCAGGAGTCTGTCCACAGTGGCTCTCGCACCAAGGCCCACTCTTCTGGAGGGGTTTCAAGGCCCTCCCCAATCTGGCACCATCATATCCTTCTACCTTCTAATCAATCCAACAAGTTGGACACTGTCACATACTCATACTGTTCTCCCACCCAGCTCTGGGATTTCATCATGCTGACCTTCTCACTTAAGGTGCTCAGTATCCCCTGAATGGGCTTTCCTAAATCCCATTTATTCCTCTAGGCCCAGCTCAAATTTCAACTCCTCCCAGAAGATTCTGTAACCAGTCCAGCTCTTTCTTCTTCGAACTGATTGTCTTTAGCATACTCTTTAGCATCTGATCGTCTAATAAATGTCCATTCTCTCCCTGACCAGGCCATGCTGCTTGTCAGAGAAACCATGTCCTGCACTTCCTGCAGGCCCTCACAGTACTAGTGGACTCCTGAATACCAGGTAGGGATGAAACAACTATTTACTAACTGAATAATCAACATTCAAGGGATAGCTTGTCTCTTTTCTTAGAGTTTTAGTAATTGAGGAGCCTAAGAAGGCAGGCATCAGCAATGCCCTACAGCCCTTGGGAAGCCTGACATGTACCCCAAAAGCTATCTGACATAGCTGGAAGGATCCCATTTCTGTAATGGAGACAACTATTTTCCAAAGACTTATCACTGAACTGTTCTGAACAACAAGGAATCGCTGTTGGGGCCCGAGACAAGCATGGGGCAGGGCAGTCTGGAACTACATTTACCACTGTGGCTTCCTCCAGTGGAGTCACTTGGTGCCAAGGGAGGTGGATGCGGCTTGTCCATCAGCATGCCAGATGAGGGGGCTCCTCCCAAAGGGACAGAGGGGATCGAGTAAGGGCCAGGGACACCGGAGACAGAGGGAGGGTACCCGGCCTTTGCTGCTTTCCCTGCTTCATACACTGTAGAGGGAGATCAAGAGCAAGAGAGATTACATTGTCCCACCCTCCACAACCCTCACACCAAAAATCCCTGAGGATGCACTTCAGGGAGCTCCTGTGTGTGTGTATGTGCATGTGTGTGTGTTTGTTTTCCAGAACTGAACTGATTCATCAGAATCACCTTCCCCCACTCCCTTGGACTCCTCCAGCTCCACCAAATGGCAACGACATAAGGACTTACAGTGTTTAGTACCTGGCAACTGAGTAATTAAGTGGTTCTCGGAGCTGTCACAGCAGCATCCCCAGTGACGACAGCAGCCCACTCTTACCCACACTGGACGTTGCCTGGGCCCCTCTGGATGCAGCCTAGCACAGGGACCACCCAGGGCTGCTTCAAGGAGGAGCCTGGACCTTCTCTTGAGAAGGAAAGCAAGTAATGGGCTTACACATGTTCCCTGCTCTGTGATTTCAAAAGCAGAGCAAATACCTGATTCATCCTAGAAACTGCTTTATTCCTGAAGATACTAAAGACCTGGTGTACCTACTCTTTCAAGATGTGTTTGGTTTATGGCAGGGGTACCAAACTTAATGTCTATATGGGCTTGGCCAGTAAGGTAAAAATGGTGAACCCCAAATGAGAACTAGGCCATACTGTGGCTCACATCATCATGGGAGTAAATAAAACAAATCTGTGGCTGGGTGGGTGCCCAAAGGCCACAGTTTGCACACTCTTCTTATATAAAAAGGAGGTTCTCTGCATGGGAAGGGAATTACCAGAGGAGGTTTCCTCTAGTTTGAATGCACCAGGGAGAGGAAACAGCTTTACCCCACAACCTCACCATGCCAAACCTGCCCTTCCATTTTATCAATAGTGTCCATAAGAATTCCAAATGCATGGAGTGAGAGGTATGGATAAGAAGTGTGGAGAGGTGTATTAAGGTGAGATGGCAAATGAGAATGATCATCCCTGAGGCCAGGGATGCCCAGCGGAGAAGAGAGTCTGGAATGACCAATTTTGGGGGTAGAAGGACAGGAAGTGGAGGAGGAACTCGGCGCACATAGCTGTCAGGTGGAGGGGTAGACATTTCTCTCAACTGCTCTGTCTCCCCACCGATCCCTTTACTCACAGGCTTGAGGGCAGCAGCAGGAATCTGGGCAGCATGGGCAGCGGACATAGCAGCAGCAGCTGTGAGGGCAGCACTGGCACCAGCAGATCCCCACCAGGACGAAGAAGAGGAAGATGCCCAGGAGCACCAGGCCAACAAACACCCACTCTAGAAGGATGTACAAAGAAATCCACATTCGAGGCAGCCCACCTCCAGGGCAGCGTGCACTCAGATTGGCATTTTCCTGTGAAAGGGGGAGAGGAGGAGGAACCTGGGGAAGAAAGCATCTCTTAATGGAGACAGAGCCCCAACACTCAAGAGGAACTCTGGGAGTGAGGAGTGCAGACACCCAGTCCCAGGGAATGGAGAAAAGGGAAGAAGGTTATCTAGGTCATGCTGGGCACACATAATGACCGGCACAAAACAATGTGGGGACTTCAGAGTCCTACACTGCGGAAAGGATTTACACTATTGACTGTAGCATTGGAACAAGGATGGGACCAGAGCTGAAAGAATCCTGGCTAGGGGGAGGGAGAACCTTTTCTGCTGGGCTATGAACTGGTGGGTTCTGTGAATACTTATTTTTTGTAGTCAAGTTAATCCTGCCTCTAAAAGTCTAAGTCCTAACGAAAAGGTCGGTATGTCTAGCGGCCTAGATATAGTTTATGGTTAGGTGGTTCCAGGCCCCTTAGGTATTCACCTGCTTTCCCTGCTGACTGCCCCTAGAACACCTTTCCTGTACTCAGCACCAGTGCTGAGACCCAAACCTTTTGATTCTACTGGGACAATAATCCATGGCTAGAGGAAGCTAGAGACGTGGTCTCCATAGAGAAGACACTGTCCCCATGCACAGAGAATGAGTTTGGTTTTATCACACTCAAGCTGCCCATGCTAGGCAGGCAGCCTCACCAAGGGCTCAAGTGGCTCTGAGCTTGGATAAATGGCAAGGCTGACATGTATATCTGGATATGTTTGTTAACTCTGCCGCTTTTCACAGTTTTGCCAGAAGCTGAATGTAAATTCCATTTCATTTGCCCATCCAAAAGATTAAGAGAAAGGAAACAAATTGCAATTGGCTTAGATAAAAATTACTGTGGCCCTCAGGTGACTTGTCTCAACATCATGCTTTAGAGACTTGGCCATAGGACCTAACTTCCCCCTGGAAGCCTGGGTAGACTGGGGAGAGTCATGCTTTCCTTTAAATGCCAAAAAGACTAAAGCAAGTCATTTTGTTTAAAAGCCATCTATCCCAAATCCCTTTACCACGAACCTCAAGCATACATAGTTTTTCTTAAATTTTGATTATTAAATATTCCTTCAATTAAATGGACATTCAGCTGGGAGCTTAAGAACATGACATTTTTATTACATAACGGGTTGTGTAATAATGGTTAACAAAATGACTTTGCATAGACCATAATTTCCTCAGAGAGGAAACAAACAACATGTTTCCTGAATGTCCCTCCTCACTAATCTTTTTGGAATACATTCAAATTAAATAGGTCAACCTCTATTCAGTGAAGGAATGGGAAGGCCTTGCCTGGCTAGAATGGCCTGGAGAGCATTCATGCCGAGGACAATTGATAGTTGAAGGCTTTGGCCTACGCCTTAGTAAAAACGCAATAATGTAACATAGCCTGAGATAGAAATGAGCTCTTGGGTTTAGATGAGCTGTATGCAGTGGCAGCTACAACTTGGGTCAAGCAGTCAAGAATAAGACTGGAAATTTATATGTGCGAAACAAAAGAATATTATCTGTGAAAGGATTCTTGGAATCAAAGAGAGGGAAATTTAGTCATATAGGGCCAGATATGAAAAACACAGTAAGTCTTTGTTGAAACTGGGAGATGTAACATCTAGTTTAAAGTACTGTAATGTAACATTGTTTGTGTGATAAACAAATGCTTATGAATTGAGTGAATTCTGGATAAGGGGATTACAAAGAGGCATATATTAGTGTCCTTGGGAGCAACATCAGTAAGAAGAATGTCTGTGCTTGGGTTGGCCACCTAATGGAAACAGACTAGAATTCTTACAAGAATAATTAGCGAAGCTCAATGGTGAAGACTCTGGATGTTTTTAAAAACTTGAATTAAGCTAAAAACCAATACTCAGGGATATTTTGTATCTCTTTTGTGATTAGGTAGCTCTTAAAACATTGGCAGAAACCCTCCAAGACAAGACTAAATCACCGCTTTTCCTACTGCTTGAGTTTAGATATGTTCTCTCCCACAGTTCATTCTTGCTTCTCTCTGTGCCTCCCTGACTTGTGGACCATAAAGCTGCACCAAACTGATGTTGGCTTATCTAGGCTAGTGCATTCAACTGAAGATATAAAAAAAGACAGAGATGTATATTTGTCATAGATGTCTTTCACATATGGTCCGTGGACCCCTAGGGACTTGAAGGGACTAATAAGCCCCTGAAATTGTGTACCAAGTAATGTTGGTCTGCAAATGAGTATTTTTCAAGGGAGGAGGGGTACATAGCTTTCCTAAGGTTTGAGAAAAAAGTTTGATCATGTTATAAAAGGCAATTCAGAGTAACACGGTTGTATGATAATGAATCGGTAAACATATAACTTAGGAAATAAGGAAGGCAGGTAAATACTGATTCTATTAAAAATACTTTTTTAGGTAAATGGGTACAGCTGAAATACTGAAATGGCATGGAGATTGCCAAAGAGCCTGCATGCCTGACACTGAAGAACTGGGTTGCCATCTCAGCCTATTTTTAATTATCGTTGTTCTCTTAAGGCCTAGTAACAGAAGGAATGCAATTTAAAAGCTCTTCCAATGGGTTTAGTTCATCTTGGAAAAGATCAGAGACATATAGACAAATGTGCGAATAAATTAAAGAAGCAATTAGTGACTAATGCAGAAGCAAGACAGATGGAATAACAGCAAAGCAAGCAAATAAAGAGTTAAATGACTGAATACCTGGCATAATCTCCACAGCAAAACTGGGCAAGAGATCAGCAAGCAGCCCTGTCCTGCCTAGAAGAAGTGGAAGGAAAAGAAGAAGGAAAGTGGTTATTCAAAAGAAAAATATAGCCTAAAGCCTGGCTCCAGCTGGTACCATCCATACGTGGGGCCATTAGAGCATGCTCTTTGCGGTATGGGAAGCGCGTCACTGAAGCTAGGCTGAGACAAGAGAAGGACTTTCTCTGTCAATCGTTGGCAGCCATCTAAGTGAACTCTGCACCTAAATTAAGCGGAAGCAGAAACAGAACTTTCTCTCCAACTATATATAGGAGGAGGAAATCTCTGCTTGAGCAGACTGACATACACTATCTCCATTCATTTATACATCCGTCTCCATACACTTCATTGGAAAGTCAAGCCCATCTGTATCCAAATGTTCAATCTACATTTTCATACATCCATACACAGTCCTATGTCCATATAAAAACAAAAGTACATATTTGGTTTTAACTCAGAATTATCTCACTACATGATTCTATTTGTGGCCTAAAGATATTTCAATGATTAGAATTTTCAAAGGCAAGGGAAAGATAAAACTAGATCAGTTACACATTCCTCTACACTCCTTCTGGCTTCAGAAATACACTGTACATATGTAGATGGTACGGCTTTTCCATATGGCACACACAGCTGGCATTATATGGACCCAAGTGCCTTCTGCATAATATGGCAGAGAAGCTTAAAAGCTGGAGTCAGAACAGGTGCCCCGCATGGGCTCTGAGAAGCAAAGAGCTGTGCAGGAAACAAGAGGCTGGAAGACATGAGGGAGCAGATTAGTCCACTTAAAAACTAGCCTGATTTACAGAAAGACATGAATGCTTCTCATATCAAGGTGAAGTCCTGTTATGAACTTCTGCCCCTGTACCAGATATGTCTACCACACTGAAGCCTTGCTAAGAAACTAGTAGTAATGTAAACAGTTAGCAAATTTCCCTCCTTTCAGACTTGTGATGATGGTAAAAAGTCACTGTAGCACCTAAACATGCAACTAAATTCTACTTCATTTAGGTACCTGACACATACCTCTAGAACAGCACCGTCCAATAGAAATATAAGGCAAGCAATGTGGATAATTTGAACTTTTCTAGGAAGTACGATAAAAAGTAAAAAAGAAACAAAGGAAATTAATGTGATACTATTTTTAGCTTATGTGACTATCACCAAAATACTGTCATTTCAAGGATTTAGTAGCCATGTGTTGCTACTGGACCGCACAGCTCTGGCAATCTGTTTCATGCCTAAAGATTTGGCTCATTTAGAAAACAACTCTTTCATGTTAAAGTTTGTTAAGGTGCATTAGAGAAAAGGTGTATAGTTCATATTTTGAATCTAAGGTCATGATTTGAATCTAAGGTCACTGGTCCCCTTCTCTATGAAGTCACCAAAGAAGAGAAGCTCTGACAAAGGTCAAAGAAAAGGGACTCCCCTAAGATACTAGGGAAGTATGCTGGAGCTGGGGCAAGATTTAGTGAGTGGAGTAGAAGGGGTCTTTGCTCTCTTTTTTTGACTCTCCTCAACTCCACAAGGCCAGTGTGGTAACGTGTATCCTAGTCTATGTGGGTGAAGGTCCCACGTTTAAAAAGCTAATGAGGACCAGAGTACATTCCAAGAATGGGTGACTTAGGGCAACTCTGCTTTTGGCCTTGGCAAAAAGAGCTTCCTTCTTTCTGTCTTCCATCTCATGCAGCTGACATGGTAAGATGGCTCTGCTGCTGCAAGGTCTCTTGGAAGGACAAGTAGGGGTCAAGTGGAACATTGGAAAAACGTGTCTTCTCAGGCTAGTCTTTGACCCAAGCCTTCAGATAAGACTAAGAGGTGCTCCTAAGGCTTACACAGTTCCCTAGGGAAGGAAACTAGTAAAAATTTGGGGCCAAAGTTTGAGAAAGTGATTAAGAGACAACATGCATTGGTCTCGTCTAAGTGTTCTCTGTAAAAATATCTCTTGGAAATTCAACAAAGTAATAAACAACTGGTCAAAGATTTGGGAATTTGGGCTCCTGGAGATCTCTTGAAGACCAGGCAATAATCAATAATCAAGAAGTCAATACATACTGTTTTTTAGCAATCCAGTTATCAGATACGTACTTGATGGTGGATTTTATTTTTTTTTCAATCTGCATAATTAGCACTTATAAATACATCTCTTGCTATATCTTGTAAAATCAGAAACTTTGCAAGTGTTTACTCTCTATTTCTGAAGCCTACCATGTTTTAAAAATCTCTGGATATGCTATGGTCTAAATCATCACTTAAATTCATGATAGAAATGTCATTGATGATTGATGACATAAGCTACCAATTTGTGGGCTCCTATAGCTAACTAACTGTGAAAACTAACTATAAAAATCCATATATTCAAGAGGATGTGGTACTCACACTTACTATACAGAGCATGTTATACTGGAAAAAGTAGTGGACTGGGAGTCAAGAGTACTTAGGGCAACTTTATTATTACTTCACTTGGTGATTACTACAGGCAAATTACTTTCCCTTTCTAGGTCTCGGTTTTCTCATTAGTAAAATGAAGGGGTTGAATGGAGAAGTTTATAAATAGAAAGACCATCTATCTTGGTTTGTCTAGGACAGTTGTGTTTTATACCTATGGTCCAGGTGTAATTTTTAATAGCATCCTTTTTTACTCTCAAAGTGTTCTAGTTTGGACAATTAATTACATGGTCACACTATTTATATCACTTTTAGTTCCCAAATCTTATGCTCAGTGATTGGAGTTAAAAACTTAAATATCTATAGGGACCAGCAGGTAATACATATGAGTGTAGCTGGCCAAATGTAATACAACAGGGAGCAGCTAAAGATGTCATTAGGGGGCTGCTACTAGTCACCTCCAGCCACTTGTGGCCCCATAGAAATGTGTCTTCAGGGTTTCAGATCATCCTATTATTCAAAATTTTCCGGGTCCCAGATTTTATGTGAAATACTCTGATTTTCAAATGTTGGCAACCAATTCAGTTTTTACAACACTAGATGAACCATACATAATATGTCTACAGGCTGTAGAGAACCCAGAAATCGTGAGTTTGCAACCTCTGAAGGCTATACACACACAGATACATTTATGGGAGGGTAAAACATAAAGCTGGATTTCCCCATAGGCTGTTGATGCTGTTCTAACATTGCTTCCACACACAGAATGATAGTAAATACAAGATCTAGTCACCTATGTTCAAATTAAAATTGGAAACAATGGTACTACACATCAAATTAGCCCTTCTTATTTCTAGGGAGCTAGAATGAGCACCATGGAAGAGCAATGAAGGAACTTGCTTTTTTTTTTTTCTTTAGACTTTTTTACTTTTGTAATTGAAAAAATTAAAATAAGGAAAGGGTGTATCAGACATATGGACAGGTGATTCACAAAGCTTGTCACTCTAACAGGAAGACATATATCGAGCTTCTCATTCTCCCTGAAGCAACAGTCAATAGCTGATGCATCTGAAGGTGAAGGCTTCCCATAATGCACCTGTGTAGTATTAGCCACAGGGTAGCACAGGTGATATGTGCAGTAAAGTGGGAGAAATTAAATATCTTCAGAATTCAGAACATAGTAGGAGTTTTGGGAGAGCAGACAATGCCAATATATCATGTCAACAGCAGAGACGGTGCAAAGCTCTGTAGCTTTTACACCATTACTTATATTTTATTGACACTAAAGGCATTTTAAAAAGTGGATTTATGTTGGAATCTTTTTTTTTTTTTTTTTTGAGACAAGAGTTTCGCTCTTGTTACCCAGGCTGGAGTGCAATGGCCTGATCTCGGCTCACCGCAACCTCCGCCTCCTGGGCTCAGGCAATTCTCCTGCCTCAGCCTCCTGAGTAGCTGGAATTACAGGCACGCGCCACCATGTCCAGCTAATTTTTTGTATTTTTAGTAGAGACGGGGTTTCACCATGTTGACCAGGATGGTCTCGATCTCTCGACCTCGTGATCCACCCGCCTCGGCCTCCCAGAGTGCTGGGATTACAGGCTTGAGCCACTGCGCCCGGCCTGGAATCTTATATTTCTGAAAATAGTCCACTTCCAGCTTCTTCCCTAACAATTCCTAAGAAACGTTATTGCTAGTTAGAAACGCTTTATCTTTTCTTCTATCACATTCAATGAAGGCCTGATCTTAGAGCATCTAAACAATTGCAGTAAATACATTCCAGATTTCAGCAGCACTTTACCAACACTTGTGAATCACTGTCATTCTTCCAGGATTCAGTTTAAGAGTGGCAATGACAAGTCACTTTAATGTCTGAGGAAAGGGTGGAAAGCAAGCCCTGGAAATAGAAGGCCACATTTGCTCTTTTCAAACCACAGCTCAAACTATCAGTGGAAAATACAGTTTTTACGTAAGCACTCAAACAGTTTTCCCCAAACCTTGCAGAATCTATCACTTTTAAGAAATTTCCACATGAATAAACCAAACGAATCAGGCATACTAATGCTTTGTACATGCACACACCCAAGTGCCAGTTTCATATCATACTGTCACAAACTCTGCAGTTAAACACATTCACACGCATTGGGTTGAATGATTAGAGTAGAAACATGCATTGTGAATAAAATAACTTACCTAGCTTACCTATAAAATTCCCTATTTCAGTTGTTTTCTGCCACTGCCACTTTGAAGTTATCCTCAATTGAACTCTTTGTACACATTCCTGCAAACCAGCTCACTGTTGGAATGTCTCTCATTTATTCATTCATCATTCATTCATTCAACAAAGAAATTTTATATTTAGCTAGACACAAGGGACAAGATGTGTTCCTTTGAGACACTTGAGAGGCTCACAGTCTGGCCCACGCAGAACTTGGCTTTAGTTATCTGCTTCTGTGTCACAAGACCTACTAAATCTTCCCGCCAAATTAGCTATCATCAGTCCTCTCTGCATTTTTGACATCAGGTTCTGCCTGGTCATGGGGCCTTTCCCTAGAGATCTAGTCCTTGCCTGGTTCCCCACTTCTACTCAGAACATTATCTTTGCACATTTCACAACAAATACCATGTCC